AAAATAAATAAATAAAAATAAAGAATGAAACTTTTGTTTGAAAGACCAACAGGAAGCGATCTGTATATTCTGCTCAATCAGTTCCTTGGTAGAGAAGCACCCCCAGGCTGCTGTGAGTCCTAGTCTTCTGAAACACTAGCCAACACTATTGTTGTTTTATGGTTTCATGACATCGTTTTGTTCTTAATCCCAGGTAGAGAGGATGTAATGGAGCTGACATCCTTTTCTGGTTTATTACTGGGGTTGTACATGAATAGAGCTCTGAGGAACTCTCTATCAGGCAAGAAGAAAAGAAGAAAACAACAGTTGAGAGGCCTCATATCATTTTATACTGTGTGGTACAAAAATACCTCATATGTCAGTTTTTTTCCTTGATCATCCAATTTTAGAATTGGAGGGGAACTTAGAGGCCATTTAGTCTGGCCCATTTACTTTATCTATTTTTAAGTAATTTTTATTGATATTTTTATGGGTTACAAAAGCAATATATGTTTATTGAAGATAATTTTTAAAATAGAGATAAACAAAAATAAGATAGAAAAAGTGCCCATATGTCACTCTCCAGAGTCATTCTTAAACTTTTGTTTTTTCTTCCTTATGTTTTTAAATGTATGTGCATATAAAATTTCTACAAAAATGAGATTACTTTGTAATAGTGTAACCTGTTTTTTTAACTTCACATTATGTCATAAATACCCTTTGATATTCTTCCACAAATTATTTTTAATGACTATAAAATAGCCTATTGCATCATTGAACTCAATTGATATAGCCATTTCTATATGGTTGGACATTTAGCTGTTTCCACATTCTTGCTAGTATAAATAGTACTGCAGTGTTTGTCCTTATAACTTAATTTTTGTTCATATCTATATTTTTATTTTATTTTTTCAGGAATCCTAATAATGATTCTAGCACCTTCACCATGCAGAGGAGAAAACTAAAGCACAAAAAAATGAGGATTTAGTTGTCCATGACTATACAGCAAATTCTCAGCAGAACTAAGACTAGATCCCAAGAGTCTAGATGTTCAGTTATTCTTTCTAGTTTTCTTTACTTTCTAGACTTCTTTATTAGTCCTGTTTCTAGTAAACTTCCACTACTACTTAAAACCCAATGGTTAGATTTAAAGTAAATTAAAGAAGTGATGGAGTTTGAGGATTACAAATATGTGGCACATAGTCTCCCATTGTTCCATCCTGTACATGGTGAAGGTTCCGTGACATCATGTACATCCGGTACACGATGAAGGTTCCATGACGTTCATCACTAATCAATCACAGAACTCTTTCCTCCTTAGCTGGTCTCTGTCCATCTCAGTATAACACTCCATGAATCCAGTACCCATGCACAATATTGGCAAATTGGCATGAAAATTATTTTACATCTTTAGTACAGTTCCTTCATTTATACAAAGAAGGAAAATGCAATTCTAAGAAAGAGGAGTCTTGCTCAAGGAGTTAAGAGGGAGTGAATGGCAGTGACAAGGCCAGAGTAGTTACAGAAAAAAAAGCATAATATCCTTGCTACCTTTTCATGCATTTTTATTACACAATAATTTACCTCATTTGAGCCTTGCTACAATCTTATAAAGGTAGGTATTAGTATTTCCACTTGATGGATGAAAAAATTGTGCATAAATATGAACAAAGAGTCATCAAGGCTAAATACAAATTTGTGTCATTGTCATATATTTTGCTTTTTCTATCCATTATTTTTCTTGATAATGGTATCCAGACATTTGATAGGTTTGAATGACAGCAAAAACATGTGCTCACTATGGCCTGAGCTGGGGAGTTCATCTTTCTTTTTCTCCCTCCAGGAGAATTCCTGAGTTTTGCTGATGACTTACTCTCTGGCCTGGGCACATCTTGTGTAGCAGCTGGTCGAAGCCATGGAGAGGTCCCTGAAGTCAGTATCTACTCGGTCATCTTCAAGTGTCTGGAGCCTGACGGTCTCTACAAGTAAGATGTGTTGGGTGTGTGGGGACCATGAAGCAGACAGGATGATTTTAAGCCTAAGAGGAATGGCATGAGTTATTCTGTGCAGGCCAGCCAAATGTTTTGTTAGCTAGCCTATATGTGCAACTTGAGATTCTAAGGTTTAGAAATGTCCATTTGAGAAGTATGCCACAATGGATCACAGAATCACACCAGGTGAGTGCTGAAGTGCCCAGAGAGACCAGAAATTTAAAACCATTCCTTCTGCTGATTAGGAATCTGCAGCTCAGAGAGAGAAGAGTGTTTACTCAAGAGCACCGATCAAGTTATCAAGGATGGTTGGGACAGGGATCTCTGCCTAGTGGTCTTTTACCTCTTGTATCCTTTCTTCTCTTTAAATATTAGATTAGTATATCTGATATATAGACACATACACACTGAAATATGCATACTGAGATATATATGCCGATATATATTTAATATATACTTTTTATTAATAGATCCAGCTAGCCTTTTAAAAATAGTGCAATTATCACTCCTTTGTAGAGTATATTGGAGTCACTGCATTCAAACTTCTGAAGATGCAAGAGATAGTCACTCTGAGCTTCATTTGTTAGCCTTGGAAGAGAAAAGGAGCTCATTTGTTACTTTTTATTTCCTACCTCAGTGAGTGTTGTTTTTAGATCTGGATGCAACCATCATAAGCTATAACATAGAGCTTCATAGACCAACTCTCCTTATGTACCCTAATTATGGAACCATAGGCCACTTCCCTTATCAACTTAGAAAGCTGAAGTTGTTACAAAGTTGAGCTTTATTCACCAGTTATTCAATTCATTTATTTATTACTGTATTTAGCCATTCAGGGATTCATTCTTTCCTCCATTTAACTATCTATCTGCCCGAAGATTTATCCATTTTCCATTCATCCCTCCCTCTTGCCCTTCTTCCCTCTTTCCCTCCATTCATGCATCTCTTATCCATCTATTCACCTGCTCTTATATTCCTTCATTACATTAATTTATTCATTCATCAGTTACTTCATTCACACATTCGTTCACTGATTCATAACTTATTTACTTATTCAGTAGACATTTGCTGAGTATTTCTTGTGTTTTGGTCTTGTGCTAAGCACTGTGGATATGAATGAGACTAAGACAGAAGTCCTATCCTCAGATAACATAACCTAATGATTGTGAGAAAGGCCACAGACTATGGATTCAAATCTGGCTTTGACATTTTTAGTTAAGTGACTTTAGATAAGTTGCTTTACCCCCTAAGTCTCTTATAAAGCCTTTGTAAAACAAATAATAAAACCCACCTTGTAGAAATGTGTGATAATTAAACGAGAAACACCCTGGCTTGGTATCTCCAAGCATGTGCGCAATAAGTGTTAGTCCCTCCACAATCTGTGAACCTTGCTCACCTCAAAACACAACCCATCTTCCCTTTCCTCTCCCTTGCTCTTCCTCACCCTTTTGAACACTTGATATATTCAGGCTCCTTGGTAACAACCAATGTGTTGGGTCACCAAACTCAAGAATGTCAAAAAAGCTGGCAATTGAGTCTTCTGCCCCTGACTCTGCAACCTACTATCTCTGAGATGTTGGGACCCAAGCTTTATCTTAAGTCACTTGGGGGACAGTGAATGTTCTAGGAATGAAATCCTCTAAGTAAATATGCAATTCTACGTCTTCCAGTGGGACATCTGGGCAAATTTTACTAAAGTTTTAGGATGTACCTTAGGCCTTAAAGAATGACCACCATCCTCATGATGAGTAGGGAGATTGGGATCTGACTTTGAGAGCACAACTCTAGACACTCTTAATCAATAAGCACTCACCAACACCTTGGGCTCTGGGATAATGACATGTGTGAAGTGAAACACAAGTATGTGACTACATTAAGAGAGATTAAGTCCTCTCTAACTCTGAAAACTATAATTCTGTGAAGAAAGTGAATGGCATTTTCAAAAGATTTTCTGATAGATGGCTTCCGGTTTCTCCCCTCCTTAGGGTTATAGACTAAAGACACACAGACCCGGATTCAAATCCTGACCCTGTCCTTTATCAGCTCTGTGACACTGAGTGAGCTGCCTAACCCTCTGAGTCTCCAATTCCTTCTCGTTGAAAATGTGGATAATATGGTGTTTGGCCCACTGGGACCCCAGGAGGACTCGATGGGATCATGGACAAAAGCTATCTAGTGATGAGGTTCCAGTAGAAGCCTAAGAAGTGTTAGCTATTATCAATGTTGCTGTTGTTGCCCTTGTGATAATTTCAACTTTCTCCCATCCATCTACCAAATGATAGAAGATACAGCATCTGGCAGAGAAGGATGGTGTCCTGTTGGGTGATTCCTATTCACTAATACAGAAGGAGTAACCCTGTCTCTGGGTGACACTGTAGGGGCTTGATGTCATCTGGGCTGGAATCCTGCAGCCCCATTATGTAGAGAGCAATGAAATGTTTTATGGAATCCCGAAAGCAATTAACACTGAGAGCTGACAAATCAGCTGACATTCTTTAAAAGTGATGAACACTTTCCTTTGCCCCTTCTTTTCCTCACTGCCTGACACCACCCCTCCTTTCCACCTCTTAAAGTATGGCACATTCTTTCTTCCTCTGTCCTGGAAATGTGCTTGTCAGGAGCTTGTCATCTCTAACTCTGAACACTTCTCTATTTTATTTATGTATTTTTGAAATGGATGATGTTAATGGCCCTGGGATCCAGGCCGCTCTGACCAGGAACCAGGGTGTTGTTTGGAATGGTCTCTTATCCCATTGGCGGCTCTCCTCCCATGGAGTCTGACCAGCTCGGTCTGGAGTTTTAAAATAGTTCCAGTGTCAGTTCTTAGGGATTCTCATTTTCTGCTTGCTCGTTTTTTACCCAAATTCTTCTTCCTCTTGAGCCAAAAAGACTGTGTGTGGCAGTAGAAATAGCACAGGCCTTGGGGACAGGCAGGGCTGGGTGTGAACCCTGATTCTGACGCATGCTCATAACCTGCCCCGAGGCAGGTTTTTCACTGCTCTATGAGACAATTTCTACCTCTGGAAAAAGAGGCTGATGATTGTCCCTATCTCAAAGGGTTGTAAGGAAGAAGGTTGACTTTGAAAACTCCACAAACAAGGCTTACCTGAATTCTTGGCACGTAGGCAGCCTACAGGAAGTGTTAGCCACTTTCTTCTTCTCCCCTGACTCTTCTTCTCAATCCCTGGTTATCAGTGTCTTTTCTAAGCACAGCTCTGGAGGAACTGGCCCTTATCAGGCAAGTTGCAGTCCCACTATCCTTGGAAGGAACGACCATCCAGAATCCTTCTGGGAGAAATGGAATGAGAGGAGAGGATTGATGCAGAGGAGAGAGGTCTCAGAATGGCCCAAGTTGTAGTTAAGCACAGTCAGACACCAAATTCTGCACCCATGCTTCTAAAGGATTCAGGTGGCAGGAGAGTGGAGGACTAGTCTCTCCACCAGAGAATCTGGGCTCATGCCCTGCTATTAGTTCTGCCTCTAGGACCTTGGATTAAATGTTCAGATTCCTTCCCTGTTCTGCACTGTCAGCATCTTTAAAATCAAGGTGCATGAGATTCTAGCTCATGAGTTCTGTCATGGGATTTATTTTCATCCCTTCTGTCCTTCTCCTGAGCTTCTGCTCTTCCAGCTTTTCTAGCTCTCTCACATCTGTTTTGCACTACTGTGCCTCTCTGTGTCTCTGCTTGTTTCTCTTTGTCTTTTATTCCCTCTCCATGTAAGTATTTTCTGTATGGCTTCCTGTCTTTGTCTGTCTGTCATTCTCCCTACCATTCCTTTTTTTGTCTTTTTATTCATTATTTTAGTTTATGTTGCTATAAGTGTATCTCAGTTTCTTGGTCCTATTTTTTTTTGAAATTTGGCCTCTCTCCCTCTCTCTGGCCCCACTCCAACCCCAACTCCCTCTCTCTACCCCACCTAGGAAGGCAAATTTTTTCTTTAGCCCCTCCATCGATGTAACTTTACACAGCGCCACAGGGTAAGAATAATTGAACGAGTGAAAGTCAAGGCTGATTTTCTGTCCTAAGCTCACCCTGGTGTAACAAAACAGAAACATCAGCACCCGTACCCTGTTTAAATTGAATTTCCTTGTTTGTTTCGTTTGTTTTGCTTTTGAATGAAAACAAACAAGAGCAGCAGAGGGAGAGGGTCCCAGGAAGGTCTGACAGCAGGGCCAGCTCCTGCTGCCGTGGGTGGGTTGTTGGAATCGAGGGGTGACCCTGAGCAGGAGTCTCCACTCAGGGCCAATGGCTCAGGCCTGGCTGGGCATCCATGGTCCCTGCCCTTGCCTGGCCAGAGGCCCAGACACCCTTCTTGTAGCTGCTCTCCAATTTCCTATTACCCAAGGTAATTAGCCTCTGTCTTGTCTTGGCTGCCTTGCCTTTCTCTAATTGTGGAAGGCTGCCAAAGGGTCCTCAGCAAGCATGCCAGCAGCAACCAGGCCTGATTCCTGGGGTGGGGGATGCATTCCCACACATTCAGAGGCTTGCCCCAGACCCGCCCTCACCTCCCTGGCTTCAGCTCTATGAAAGGAATGCCAAGGGAGCCTGGGGACAGTAGTCAAGTGCCAACATCCACGGTGGGAACAGAGGCTTGGGCCAGAGGCTCTATCTTAGCGGGGTGGGTAGAATTGGAAGAGTAGAAGAAAAAGCAAAGCCCTGGAGAAGGGAGGGCATTGTGGAAAAAAGCCTGAGGTTGGGAGTCTGACAGAAATTTTCACACTTGCTCTCAGTGGTACGCTGGGTCAGTTCTTCCCCCTCCTCTGGTCTTAGTGTTATTTGTGACATGGAAAGGTTAAGTTCAGTGAGTCCCGAGACTTGCACACTGAGGTAGGAATGGAGACTCCAAACAGAGGTTCTGATGCCCAGTACCACCAGGACTTTCTGGATAATGCTGCTAGTAATAATAATATTTTATTGAGTATTCACTATGTGCCAGGAACCATTCTAAGGTATGTGTACTATCTAATTCAATTCTCATGATAAACCTATAGA